TTCAGTACTCAGATACTCATGCCAGTTCAATACTCAGATATTCAAGTCAGTTCAATACTTAGCTACTCATGTCAGTCCAATACTTAGATATTTCATGCCAGCTTAGTACTCTGATATTGATGTTAGTTCAATTCTCAAATATTCGTGCGAGTTCAATATTCAGATATCCATGTTAGTTCAGTATTCACGTATTCATGGCAGATCAATATTCAGTCAATGCAGTTCAGTTCAGTATCTCAACAGTTCAGTAATAATGTATTCATTATGTTTAGTATGCAAGTCTTAATGCAAGTTCATGGTTGCACCAGACCCGTTTAAGGTCCGGAGTTAGCAGAAGTTACAGTCAGGACAATCATTCGAGGACGAATGATCCCAAGGGGGAGATAATATAACACCCCGCACATTCGGATTAGGTATGAATTAGTTAAAGGAGTAGTAAGGTTATAATTTGGACATATGAAGTCCCATCGGGATGATTATGGGTGAAAATAGTTGTTTTGGAATCAAGACGGAGAGTGAGGTGCACAAGATTTGACAAAATCGACTAAGTTTGCAGAAGGTCTGTCTTCCATCAGGTTTTAGTGAAAACGTGTAAGCAATTTTGGAAAACTCAAAGCATGAAAGTTGTAGGCCTTTGAAATAGCTTTCCAACGATAAATTGTGGAGCCCAAACGGAGCTCTGTGCAAAAAGTTATGACCAAATTACTAAAGACATACCACCCAGTTATTTTGGCGGACAGCGAAGCGAGCTCGCTTCGCCAAAGTAGACGCGGATTTTTGTCTTCCCTTGAATGCAATGGACAGACGCGCCCCAGTCCCAGCTCTTTTAAGCCAATTTTAGGGTTTATTTTTCCCTATTTCTTTTGGACGAATTTTGGGATCTTCTTCCACCCTCTCAAGACCTCCAACCCCTCCCATCTTCAAGGTAAGCAATCTCCATTAACTTGGTGTGAAATTTCATCATTCTTACACTAGTATTGATGAAATCTACTCATAAAACACATAGATCTTCAAGAAATTCCTTCAAGAACTCAAAGAAGGGTTTTGCAAGATTTCTTTCAAAAAGGTAATCCTACACCCTTAGACTTACATGTATGAATTTATTAAGGGAATATACGTATGAATAAGCATTGGAGCTCTTGGTATGGTGATTGGAAACCATAAGTTCCCAATTTAATTACACAACTATTATAAAGATTGAAAGATGTTTATTTAATGGAACTTTATTGGTTAAGGGTGTTGTTTACCTTATGGGTGATGAAGAATAATATTGATTATAACCATTTGAGACTTTAGAATTTATCCAAGAGCAAGAGAATCGGTTATTGGGTGTAGAAACACCATTAATAGGGATTATGAAGCTTTATACTCACCAAGTGTTTGATAAAATGCCCAAGTGACCAAAACATGAACATTGTTGCTAATTTGGAATCCCTTTGAATTGTATTGATATAGATTAAAGTTGAAAGGGTTGGCGAATGTTGTATTATGCTCAAGAGAAGGAAGTTAAGGTATGTGAGGCTAACTCTCTATGTTTGGGAATGTTAATGATTCTCCCTACATTACGTTTCTTTTATGACGTATTAATTGCCTCAGAAATATAGTTAAGCCTAGTTCCTTGAATATTTGTAGAACTTCTATTCTCTAACTTCATAACTCGCTCATGACTTTCATTCTGAACGTTGTGAGCTCAGTGCGTATTCAATATAGACTTGGGTTTGATGCCCCCGAGTCTTAGTATAGATTACACAGTATGCCATATACAGTTGAAATTTCAGTATTCATAATCAGTTCAAGAATAGATGACTCAGTCTAGTCCCATTCAGTATTCCAGTGTTATGTAACCAGTATGATCTAGTTTTCCAGCATCATGTAACTCAATGTGATTCAGTGTTTCACTATCATGTATTGCAGTATGATTCTCAGTTTCTGATTTTAAATTCCTGAATGTTGAACACCTGTATTTGGGCCTGAGGCCGTAGTTTATATGCTTTATGCATGTTTGGGCCTGAGGCCGTAGTTTATGCTTTATGCATGTTTGGGCCTGAGGCCGTAGTTATGTATACGTATACTTGGGCCTGAGGCCGTAGCATGTGCACATATATATTGGGCCCGAGGCCGTAGCTTATTCAGATAAACAGGTTGTTCATCATTCAGAAGAGGGAGTATTCATATCCTTACTTCCTTTGATCAGTTCAGTTATCAGTTATCAGTTATCTTTTCAGTTATCAGTTCAGTTATCAGTTATCAGTTATCTTTTCAGTTATCAGTTCAGTTACCAGTTCTCACTTCAGTTTCAGTTTCAATAGTTATCATTTCAGTTATCAGCTTAGTTTCAGTTTCAGCATTTATAATTCATTCTTTCAGTTGCTTTACATACCAGTACAATTCAAATGTACTGACGTCCCTTTTGCCCGGGGCTTGCATCTCACAATGCAGGTAATGATTTACAGGTTGACGATTCAGAGCGCTAGGACTCTCGTATTAGCTGTTTGGTGATCCCCAGTTCTTTCGGGGCATTATCATTACTTTACAGTCCTTCATTTTCAGACAGTCAGTGTTTTTCAGTATTTCATTAGAGGCTTCATAGACTAGAGTAACAGTTACACAGAGTCACAGGCTTTTCATATTAAGCTATGTTGGCTACAAATATGTTTCAGAATTGTATTAGTATTTCCGCACTTTGATTTATATCATCCAGACATTCAGTATATCAGCATGTGTTAGTTTATGTTCCGCATTCAGTATGTTATGATACCACATGTTGATTCAGCCAGCCAGTTGGTTCGCTCGGTCACATGTAATCAGGCACCGAGTGCCGTGTTACGTCCAGGCCCAGGTTCGGGGCGTGACAACCTAACTCGTGCAGGTAGATAGGATGTTTCTTAATTTATTATATCTTTATTTTTAGTGTTATTCAGTTCATAATAATAGAATAATCATTATATTGATATATGTATATATGCTCGTTTCTTATTTACTTTCTTTGTTGTATCAGTATGCTGAGTATTGTGGTGTAGACAATCTGCTTCTTGTCCATCTTACGGTGAAATCCTTGGTGTTTAGAAGCACAGAAGAAATTTAACAACAGATCAGCTATAGGTATTTGGCAATTGAACTCTATTATTCTTATTGAACTTCTCGTCTGATACATGGGTGTAGTTATTAGAATACACCTACACACACGTCTAAGAGTCATATTATTTAACGAAGCCCTACTTTTAGACACAGAATATGAACCGTAGTTGATTCACCAAACACCTCAGAATAAATTAAAAAACATCAAAAACTGTGAGTGTTTGGTAAGAAGAAAATCTCCTTAGGAAATTATTTTCAGTGGAAGATGTTTAACCTTGGGAAATCTTTTTATCTGTAGCCATTTTTCATAAGATTAACCGATATATAGCAATTGCTCAAGAAGTAGATTGAGCCCTATTTGGAAGCCTCATTAACAGCTTGTTTGGATGGTTGTTATCCATTGTATCGTATTGTATTGTTATCTCAAAATAATGTTTATTTGATTGTTTAGCTATAATTGGTTGTATTGTATTGTTAAATCTATTGTTCCGGAACAATTTGGTGAAGAAAATTCTTTATTGATTCAACACCACAGCCTGCTACATGATTCCTTTTCTCTCCTTTCTATCTATTTCTCCCCTTTCTATTTTCTATCTACTCTTTCCTCCTATCAAGAAATAACAAAACAATAAAACAATGTATCAAAAGCCAACCACACAAAAAAACATAATCCTATACCTCTCTTATCTAATTACTCTATCTATCCATTCTTTTTCTCTAATACTCAGCTTTTTAGTTACAAAATTTATCTTCCCCATTCTGCATTCATGCTTGATCTGCTGTATCACATACCCTGTAGTTGGTAGTTTGTACTCCCATACTGTATTGTTGCGTGCCTTCCATATCCAGTAGACCAGTGCTGCTACTATAGCCAGCACCACTTCTCTGTATCTCTCCCCTTGGTGATTCTGGCCATTCGTCTCCAAATTCCAGCTATATCAATTTGTTGTATATGTATCCCTAGCCACAGTAGTACCTCCTGTAAGCGTATTTTAGAAAAGGGACATTCAAAGAACAGATGCTGTGTAGTTTCCTCATGCATTTCACATATTGGGCATCTATCATCTTGGCTTATGCCTAGATGTCATAGTCTAGATTTGGTCATCAGCCTTTGGCGAATAGTGAGCCAGCATACAAAGTTGTGCATGGGTATATTCAGTTTGCTCCACACCCATCTTCCCCATGGCCATGCTTCTTTAGCTCCCATTCTCTATTTGTACCCACTTCTCACAGTGTACTGTCCATTTATATTCTGCCATCCATCCTGTATGAAACCTGATTCATATCACTACTAGAAAATGGCTATTTTGCGACTGCAAAAACGGTCAGAAAGTGGTCAGAAAATGCTAATTTCCGACTATATTCAGACCGAAAAGTCGTAGTCGCAAAATAGCTGGTCTGAAATAGTTTGCAACCGAATCCGTCCATAATTTGCGACTACAGCGGTCGCTAAAGCAAAATAGAAAAAACGACTAATAAATGTGCTAAAGTTTCTGACCGACGCGATCGCAAACAGGTTAAATTAAATTTTAATTTTATATTAACTTTCCCACTACTTCGGTCGCAAACGGTATATATAATTATAATAATACTTAATTTTATTTATTTTTCCCACTACTGTGGTCGCAAATCTAATTTTAAATTATTTATTTATTTATTGTTCCGACTACCGTGGTCGCAAATCTAATTTAAAATTATTTATTTATTCGTATTTCCGACTACAGTAGTCGCAGATGTTCCTGAATCTGAAATATTTTGATGCATTTTGCGACTACTATGGTCGGAAATAAGTCGGAAAACTGGAAATTTTTTGCCAAATTCCAGCTCTTTTAAAGCAATACTACCTACCAATTCAAATATACAACAACCAATTAATCTACCATGCTAACCAATCAATCCACCGTTGAAACTAATCAAATCCATAAAATGCAAAACATAAATATTTGTAACTAAAACATCCAAAAAGAGTTAAACATTGTGGCACCATTCAATCTAGTCTAAAATATTACAATTATAGTCAAGTGTAAATATTACCAATTCTAAACATCCAACTACAACAAATAATAATGTCTCAAACATCAATAACCATAACAAACTAAAACTCATTATCCCCGCCATCCTCGCCATTCGAAGGACCAAATGGACGCCCGCTCATAAATTTCTCCACTAGACTCTGCAATTTGTTAAAATTTGCGCGATCTTCTTTCCGTTCCTCCTTCAACTCTTCAACTTCTTTCGTAATGCTTCCACCTCTTCGTGATCTTGCGAATAACTCGCATCACCAGACAACAATGTCGTAGAACGACCTACAGAATATTGTGATCCAAGACCGTAGGTTCACTAGCAAAATCCGGAAACAACCTATCAAAATGCTTCCATGCTTCTCCATCTGACGGATGACACAAAATACCAGGTGGCCTTCTATTTTTATAGTGCCATCTCATATGAGGAGCAGAGCTCATTGATGCATACAACCTCTTTAACCTAGGTATAAGGGGTAAGTAATGCATCGCCTTAACTGGAACCTTCTTCTTTTTTGAATTTATGGCTTTCTTGTAACGAGGTTGGTTACAAAATTTGCAATTCTCTAAGGCTGCATCATCCTTATAGAATAACATGCAACCTTTCTCACAACAGTCAATCCTCTCTGATGAAAGTCCTAACTTAGAAACCAATTTCTTTGCTGTGTAGAAATCTTTGGGTAGGTCAATTTTATTCGGATTAAGTTCATTCATAAGGCCAATGATAGAGTCCATGCCCGCTTGAGAAATACTTGAATCTGATTTAATACTTAATAATCTAACTGCGACAGACAACTTAGAATGCATTGAGCCTTTATACAATGGACGACTTGCTTCCTCTAACTGTTCATAGAAGCGCCTAGCATCATCATTTGGTTCAGACTGAGCCCCCGGGTGCATCACAAAAGCATCCCTAACCATTTCACTGAATCGAGAATTTTCAGCATTATTCTCTGCTAATGGACTACCCTCACTATCAAAAAACTTTTGAAAATCGACGTTACCAACACTAGCAACATCCTCTCCATGAATAGTCCACACGTAATAATTTTCCATAAACCCTTTTTTATAAAGATGAACTTTAACAACATCTGGTTGTAATAACTTTCCGCATTTGCATTTCATACAAGGACACCTAATCACCCCTTCACTGAGAAATTCATGAAGTGTTTTTGTTTTAGCCATGAATTCGGCAACCCCTTCTATAAATTCCTCCCTCAACCCACTACGATTAGGATAAGTTCGATTATACATCCATCTTCGATGTGCAAGCTCCATCTACACAAAATAAATCCAAGATATGTAAAACAATACATATTAATTAGTATTATGATCGTTTAACACGAGCCATCTATACAAATACATTATAATTACAAATACATTCTAATTAAGCAGATTCTAATCACAAATACATTCTAATTAAGCAGATTCAAACAGTAGAAACAACATTCTGTTCACCACAATCAGTTTTCATGATGCAAATCACATTTTCTAAGAGATTCCATTTCGTAACTAGCTACTTACAATACTTTCCATGGAACTTATCTGAAAATCACAACTCCATAGTGCATTTTAGATTTCTTTTGCAAGTATAGTTCATTTTGCTGTCCCGAATGGAAATTTTGTCCTCAGAAAAAATTTAGACAAATCAAGACATGTAAAAGTTGCACATTTAAATCAAGAAAAGGAAAAGACATACTGGCAAAATTGATCTGAAGTCAACTAAGATGAGGATAAAATGCAGTACTGGTGCCTACAAGAACAAGAATAACACCAAAAGAGGAGGCACAACAGAATTTAAATATGCTACGACTACCACTTGAAGTTCTAGAAGTTGACTTCGGATCCTCAATTACATTCTTGGGGCCGCAATGAAGCCATTAAGAACGAGAATACGGCCAAACAAGTGGTAAACATAGTTATATAATATTAAAAAAGTTCAGTCATTTTGATTTAGATGCTCAACAACATTCTGGTCTCTCAATCACTACCCCACTCTCACAGAATCATCACCTGTCCACCCACATACATTTATGTTTGAAAAGAGACAACTTTCATTTGCTCTATGTTCAATAGAAAGGGACATGTTCCTAAGACACTTCTCTCAATTGTTCATTTGTCAAAGGAAAGCTTAAAACTGGTCCTCCTGACAAGGCAGATTTGGTCCATGTTTCTTTACATTTATGGAGTTCAATGAGTCATGCCTGAAGTATCAAGCTTGCTCTATGCTGCTGGTGTAAACAGATCTTTTCTAATGGCAGCAGACAATTGTGGAATGTTGTTCCTAATTGCAACTGGACTACTTGTTCAGTTTGTTGGAGAGAGATAACAGGTTCTTTGACGATACCCCCATATCATCTCTATCCTCAGTACCCCCATATCATCTCACAACACTCATTTTAAACCAAATAAGACCTATAAACGTTTTGCGAGTATCTTCACCTCTAAAACTTAGGAAAACACCGTATTTCCATCGAGGATAGTACTGTGAATTACTCACGAAAGAAGAAGAAGATGCCATGGATTCAACTAATTGGTTGATATGAAAAAAAAAACTGTGGATAAATTGTAGTCGTGGTAGATCAGCTGATGATATTTCAGAAAAAATTATATACAGGAGAGAAGAATAAGCAAATACACTTCAAATATGAAAGATTCTAAGACGATGGGCTCTACTCCAGTTGAATAAAATTATTGCTATTGGATCTAGTCAACTGATATATATATCTATATAATATAGCATTATATGTGGTACATTTTATTGAATATTAGAAGTAAGTAGTAGGAAATTTCGGTAAAGCTTCTTAATCTCTACTCCAGTTGATTAGAACTATTGTTTATTGGGTTTTCTTTGAACTGTATGTAATAGAATGTATTAGGATATCCCCCCCCCCACCCCCCCCCCCCCAAACCCCCCCCAAATTCCCCCTGCACCAAAAGTCCACTGTAAGATGTACACAATGGGCAGCTAAAAGTACAAGCCGATGAAGAAACAAAGAAAATAATATGGCCAGTTGAATAGAATTATTGCTCCAAAGTCCAAATACTATGTCTACTTAATTCTATGGAAAATGGCAATAGAAGAATCAACTAATTAAGCAAAATTACCTTGTAATTCTCTTCCGAAAGAAAATTGTATATCCCTACCACTGTTGGAGCAAATGGATTCTGCTTTCCACTGCTGAAAATCCAAGAAAACTGACCTATATAAGCAACAAACAGTCAGAAAATAAAGGGACTTTCTAATCTGTAACTAGTAACTATCACATTCCTTTTTACAGCCGTACTTTCACATACTCAATCAGGTTTAAGTTCAAATTTGATTTAGAAAGACTTATAGTTGCAGGAGATGAGATGTCTGAAAGTAGAATGGTTCATCTCAGGTTAGAAATTAACGAGAAAAGTAATATGCAAGGGTTATTTTGCCAGACAATAAAACTGAAATTACCTCTGATTATGAACAAGTAAATGCTTATGATTCAACATAGCAAGGCGAGATTTGTACATATTGAATATTATAAAAAGCTCCTCTTATTTGGAAGATAGAAAATCAAAGCAAATAGAAGATACTGAAATATAAGTGAAACAGAAATATAGTACGGAGAAATACACAGCAACTTAACAATTCAAAAACACGGAACAAATCAAGAAAAACCACAAATAAATGAAGCATGAGGGATTTGATCAAACATACCTCGAATTTCAGCAAAGAAATTGGGTTCTGCGATCTCAAAAGAGAAACCCCCAAATTTGCAACTGATGGAAAAATGGATTTGAGAAACCCCCGAATCCAACTGACGGATTTGAGATATAAAAATGGAAATAAAAACTTAGTGAGTGATTAGTGATTTACCTGGGACGAGAGATTGAAGAACGGTCGAGCAGAGAGAGAGGCGGTCGAGCAGAGGGAGAGATAAATGAAATTGGGGAAATAGGGTTTTGTTGTGAAATATTAAATTAATATTACTGACCATCTTAGTAGCAAACTCACTTAATATTCTTTTATCATTTTTATTTTAGTTTTGCGACCGAAACGGTCGCTTAGTGGGTAACCTGATAATTTTAACTTTTTAATGTCCGACTGAATCGGTCGCAAAAGTGAAGGCGGGAAATTGGCGCGCTGTTTTCCCACTACCTTTGTCGGAATAATAGGCAATTGTCCTTTTTCAAAATAAGTAATAAAAATTAAATTTTTTTCCGACCACTGCGGTCGCAAAAGCAGTCCCATTAGCGACTACTTCATTTTCGGTCAGAAAAATCGGTCACAAATTGATATTTTTCTAGTAGTGTATTCATCTCTAATTTTACATATCTTCTTCCAGTACCAACAACAATCGATTCGACATATGTATTGCCACCATGCCTTATCTTTTAAGTATATGTTGCTTATCCATTTTACCCATAAGTTGTCAGCTTTTTGTGCCACATTCCATATATATTTTGCAATTGCTACTTCTTTCCATTTAATGCAATCTGTGATCCTCAATCCACCCTCTTTCTTGTCCCTACAAACAATGTCTCATGCCACTAGGGGAGGTCTATTTGTGACTACTTTTCTATTCCAGAGGAAATTCCTACATATTGTAGTGATGCCTTTATGTACCTGCTTTGGAAGTATGAATATGGAGGACCAATAATTGTGAATGTGTAGCAGTACAGAGTTGACAAGCAGCACTCTCCCAGCATAGGGAAGATTCTTGGTACCTTTTTTAATTCTTGCTGTCATCTTGTCAGGCAGAACTTTACAATCTATTTTGAGATTCTCTTAGCTGAAATGGGCACACCAAGGTATCTAAAGGGTAGGTTCCCTTTTTTGTATCCAGTCATTTCAATCAGGTCATTAGACTTTGAGGGTTCATATTTACACTGAAGAAATTTGATTTGTTGGCATTTGTGCAGAGCCCCTGTTGTGTAGGAGAATGTCTTTTATCCCCTAAGCAACAGATGTACTGATTGGAAATCCCCTTTGCTGAAGAGCAGTACATCATCAACAAAACATAAGTGGTTAAGCTTCAGACTCCTGCATTTGGTATGATATCCAAAGCCCTCCTGTTTAGCTACTACCCCCATTATCCTGGTGAAGTACTCCATGCATATAACAAATAGTAATAGGAATATTAGGTCCTCTTGCCTTAGCCCTCTTTCCCCTTTAATGCTACCATACATTCCTCCATTTATAGCTATAGAGTAGTGCACAGTTGTAATATAGTTCATGACCTATTTGATGTATTTCTGAGGAAACTCCATGGCATGTAGCATCTCCTCTACAAACTCCCATTCCACTGTATCATATGCCTTCTTCAAGTCTATTTTAATCAGGCAACTACTAGTTGTTTGCTTCCTGTTGTAGAGCCTCACCAAGTCTTGGCATATGAGAATGTTTTGTACTATGTTTCTTCCAGCTACATATGCACTTTGGTTGGGTGAGATAATATCTGGTAAGACTAGCTTCAACCGGTTAGAGAGCATTTTGGACACTTTTTTATATATAGTATTGCAGCATGCAATTGACCTGTAGTCACCTACTGTATTTGCATGGTCTGACTTTGGGACCAATGTAAGAACCGTAGTGTTCCAAACTTTCAGTGGTTTCCCTGCTCTGAAGAACTCCATCACCCCTGCTGTTAAGTTTTCTTTGATAGTGTCCCAACAGTCTTTGAAGAACTGACTTCCATATCTATCGGGTCCTGTGTCACACCCCGAACCTGGGCCTGGACGTAACACGACACTAGGTGCCTGACTACATGTGACCAAGTGAACCAACTGGCTGGCTGAATCAACATGTGATATCTTAACATACAAAATGCGGAAGATAAACTAACACATGTTGATATGCTGAAAGTCTGAATGATAAAAATTAAAGTGTGGAAACACTAATACAAGTCTGAAACATGTCTGTAGCCAACATTGCTTAACACAAAAAGCTTGTGACTCTGTCTAACTGTTACTCTAATCTATGAAGCCTCTAATGAAGTACTGAAAATACTAACTGTCTAAAAATACTGAAGACTGTAAGGTAATGATAATGCCCCGAAAGAACTAGGGATCACCAAATAGCTAGTACGAGAATCCCAGCGCTCTGAATCATCAACCTATAATCATTACCTGCATCGTGAGATACAGGCCCCGGGCAAAAAAAGACGTCAATACATTTGAATTGCACTGGTATGTAAAGCAACTGAAAGAAAGAATTATAAATGTTGAAACTGAAACTAAGCTGATAATTGAGAATTGATTATTGATAACTGAAATGATAACTATTGAAACTGAAACTGAAATGATAACTGATAACTGATAACTGATAATTGAACTGAACAAGAAAGTAAGGATATGAATACTCCCTCTTCTGAATGATAAACAACCTGTTTATCTATATATTAAACTGCGGCCTCAGGCCCAATATATCTGTGCACAAACTGCGGCCTCAGGCCCAAGTATACGTATACATAACTGCGGCCTCAGGCCCAAAGACGCATAAAGCATAAATTGCAGCCTCAGGCCTAAAGATGCATAAAGCATTAATTGTGGCCTCAGGCCCAAATACAGGGGTTCAACATTCAAGAATTTAAAATCAGGAACTGAGAATCATATTGCAATACATGATACTGAAATACTAAATCATATTGAGTTACACGATACTTGAATGCTAAATAGAACTAGACTGAGACATGTATTCATGAACTGATGAAAACTGAAACTTCAACTGTTTATGACATGCTGAGTAATCTAGACTAAGACTTAAGCCATTTAGGCATATTATCAAACACCTTGTAGGCATAAATCTCTATATCTCATCACCATATAATTAGTTCATCCAACTACTACCACTCATCAACAATTTATCCCACCATCATGATTAACCAATTTATAACTTTCAACATCACATATATGACCATCCATCCACACCTAACCAACAAAGTTCTATTAAATAATTATCCTTCAATCTCTACAATAGTTATGTAATTAAATTGGGAACTTATGGCTTCCAATCACCATATCAAGAGTTCCAATACTTATTCATACTCATATTCCCTTAATAAATCCATACATGTACGTCTAAGGTATAGGATTACCTTTTTGGAAGAAATCTTGCAAAACCTTCCTTTGAGTTTTTGAAGAAATCTCTTAAAGATCTAAGTATTTTATGTGTAAATTTCATCAATACTAGTGTATAAATGATGAAATTCATACCAAGATAATGGGGATTGCTTACCTTGAAGATGGGAGGAGTTGGAGGTCTTGAGAGAGTTGAGGAAAACCCTAAAATTCGTCCAAAAGAAATGGGGGAAGTGGACCCCCGAATTTGCTTAAAAGGCCTTAGCTGGGGTGCACCCGGTCTGGCAAAGTGAGCCTCACCTCGCTGTCCAGACCTTCTAGGGAAGGCAGGATCCGCGCCCGGTCTGGCGAAGCGAGCCTCACTTTGCTGTCCCCCCAAAATAACTGGGTGGTCTGATTTTGGTAATATGATCATAGCTTCTTGTAGGAATGTCCAAATGACGAAAAGTTTGAAGCGTTAGAAACTAGACTCGAAGATCTTTCATTTGATAGTTTGTGCATCACATAAAACCTTATATAAAGCTAGATATGCTCGTCCAAAGTTTGGTCTTGTGCGTACTCATTTGAATTTTAGTCTATCATGTAATTTTCCAACTTGGCTTAGACTTAGGTCTCTCCTTGGACCCCAAATCACTTATAATATGCCTCGTACACTTATTATCATATCCAATTGATAACCATCACATTAATACTCATTTAATGCATCCATAATTGATTCAAATTTACGGGGTGTTACATTATATCCCCCTTGGGATCATTCGTCTTCGAATGATTGTCCTGGTTGTATCTTCGGCTAACTCTGGACCTTAAATGGGTCTGGTGGGAACATGAACTTTCATTAACACTTGCATACTAAACTGAATGAATACACGATTACTGAACTGATGAGATACTGAACTGAATAGGTACTAGACTGAATGGCTACTAAACTGACTAAACACTAAAAGACATGGAGATTGTAATATAAGGTTTGAATGGGAAGGTTAGACACCTTCGACATTTCTCCAAAATACCTACCAGCTAACAGAGCATAACACTAGCTCCATAGGTCATAATAATACGCATAACATGACACATGTACATGAATACTTATCTGTTATGGATCGTGAATTCTGAACTAACCTGGATATATGAATACTGATCTAGCACGAATAATCGAGTGCTGAACTGACGTGAATATCTGATCACTGAACTAACATCAATATCTGAGTATTAAGCTGGCATGAATATCTGAGTACTGGACTGACATGAGTATCTGATTACTGAACTGACTTGAATGTTCTAACATGAGATCTGAATACTGGAAACGCAAATGTTGTGACATGAGATTTGAATACTGGAAACTTGAATGTTATAACATGACACGTGAAATACTAGTGTACAACTGCTAATTATGGTGGAAATTCTAACTTATAAGCTACTTACCCGATCCTTCATACGATCCTATATGGGCCGATGTATCTGGGATTGTGCTTTCCTTTCTTCCCAAATCTTATAACACCTTTCATAGGCAAAACTTTTAGAAACACCCAATCATCAACTTGAAACTCTAGGTCTCTATATTTCATGTTCGAATACGACTTTGTGCAACTCTGAGTTGTCTTCAAATGCTCTTGAATCAACTTGACTTTCTCCATAGACTGATTGACCAAATCTGGTCCCAACAACTCCGCATCGTCAACTTCAAACCAACTAATTGGCAATCTACGCCTTCGCCCATAAAAATCATGCTTTCAAAATGAGCGAGATAATCCTATTATAAGGTCCATATTTACCATCTCCACTAAATGATGTGTGTGTTCTGAGATAAGTACTTGGTTTTCTGCTGCTCGACTTTCACTTGCTAACAACTCAGACACTTGGCCACAAAATCTGCAACCTTCTTTATCATGTCGTTCCACCAATAAATCTCCTTAAGATTATGATACGTCTTTGGGAAACCTAGGTGGATAGAATACCTGGAATTATGCGCTTCTAACATCTTCCTCCCTCACTAAGTCCATCTATGTTTGGAACATAAAATCTATCCTGGTACCTCAAAGTACCATCATCTCCCCCTTGTTCAAAAGCCATCGTCTTATGCATGTGAATCCCCTCTTTCAGCTACAACAAGTAGGGATCATCAAACCGTTTCTCCTTCACTTCGGCTACTAAGGAGGAACAGGTCCTGTTCTAGATAACAACTCCACTATCGTTAGAGTATGCAAATTGAACTCCTAGCTGGGTTAAGCGGTGAACTTCTTTCACCAGAGTTCTCTTATCTACCTCAATTATGAATTATACTTCCCACACTTGATTATCTTCTTAAGCACTTCCTGAAAACACTTATAGTATTATTATGAACTAAGTATTTGATCTGTACTCCAAATTTTAGAGCCCCGTGCAATGGCACTACCCCCACAACACATAAATGGGCATGATTTTATAGCTTTTCTGTGACCACTTTATCATCAATAACTAAGCTCGGTGATCAGTCTACTCACTTTGTGTTTCTTACACATGCTAGACATATTCCTTGTGTTAATTATATAATTTTCCCTCATTACCGAACTGATTTTCTTTTTCATATCCTATGCTAATTATTCGGGTTTCAAATATCTAACTGAACTTACTGAAAATTTTCACATCACCCCTTAGACCAAGGATCTTATACTTGCGGATCCTTCTCTTTTTGTTGGATCCAAATAACTTTCCTTATTTTTTGAAATTTTTTGTACTCTTTGTCAATGACGACTTATCTCCAACTTACTTCTGAGCTAGGAAAAACTAAATTATTCACATAACAGAAAGCTAATGTATTCACAACTATCATATACAATCTTAATAATTTAACTCTGCTCACACTGTCAGTCTCGGAGAAACCACATTTCTATAATTCCTAAAGGCTATTCTTCTATAGCTTGCTCTCTCACTGCTAGCTGATTTGTTTTTCCCACTGCCACTGTACTTCGGGTTTAACTTAAACTCTTTGGGTTCTAACACATGTTCGATATTTCAAACTGTCATCCACTCACTAGAGTTAACGTGGCTAAGTGAATCAAATCTTACCTCTAGTAACTCTGCTGAAATTGCTAATTCACTGTATTTACTCAAAACTTATTTACTATTCTTTTACTAACCACCTGCTAGCATCATGTTTTCTTGCTCTTCTTTGAATAACTAAAGTGAAGCATAAGGTTTATCCTAACTTCCCTCATCATCTGACCATATTCTTTTGCCGTACACTATCATTCTTTTTGAACTATGCACATGGATCACACTTAGGAAAATTTCATCTGTCTTAAACAAAATTGGAATATCTAACCCCCTAACTTTCTATATACTTCAAAATCATATAAGATTATAACATTCGAGGTAAAAGCTTAGTCACATCACTTAAGGGGAATTGTCATATCCTTTATCTCACAATAATACCTACTTCTTATAGTAACTTGCTAAGGTGGTACTTTCTAGTTCTAGTATGAATAAACATGAACAACTTAAAATCATTCCCTGAAATTCAATATCGGCTGCTGTTGATTCTCATTTCATACATCATGTCTTCTTAGTCATATGCATGAGTCGTATGAAAAATACATGTCTGGTAATATCAAACATTTCTGACTGCTTCTCTTTTTTTTTTGTCCAAAACTATAATGACTAATTCTAGGCCATTTGCGTTTCAATTCTTAACCTGCTACACTGTAGGGTCTGACATCTAAATTATCATCATCCAACTTGTGGCTCAATTGCTAAGAATTAAAAATAAAATTGTTCTGTGAGGTAAAATGCATACGGATACACTACCATACACAAACATGTCCTTTAGAGATACCATCATCTTATAAATCACTTCTTACACAATCCGGCGAGTCTTGGGTCATTAATCCGGACCTAAAACATGTGACGATTTCTCTATAATAACTGTTCTTACATTTTCTTTTAGCACCCGTAGGCATCACCGTATACTCCCAAGTCAGCAGAAGTTAGATACACTGAAAATTGGAGATCTGGTAACTGAATAACAAATAACTGGCATACTGAATAACCATAAACCTGCTAACTGAAAGACTGTGTAACTGGTAACTGAGTTAAACTGATAACCATAAAACATAATGACTGCTTTTGTACTTTCTAATAAGGTTATGCTCTAATCTGTACTACTATCCATTGCATCCCACTTTCAACATCCTCTCAAAACCAAAATAGGCAAATCATCCTTTCTAGAACCTTAGACTTTTCTTGCCTGTCGCTTGGGCATTCGGTACGTATGGAATTCGATAGTAAGAGAAGATTACCTATTGCTCTAAGTTTCATGGCACGATCTGGGGTACAAAGAAATGAGACAATCCTAGATGTCTTGGTAGTTAACCATTTATATGAGTGGCCGGCACACAGATATAAAGGAAACTCCACTGGACACGGTTTCATAGACTCCCTAGGACTCTTGAACCTAGTTCTCTGATACCAAGCTTTGTCACGCACCGAACCTGGGCCTAGACGTAACACGACACTCGGTGCCTGACTACATGTGACCGAGCGAACCAACTAGCTGGCTGAATTAACATGTAATATCATAACATACTAAATGCGGAAGATAAACTAACACATGTTGATATGCTGAAAGTTTGAATGATAAAAATTAAAGTGTGGAAACACTAATACAAGTCTGAAACATGTCTGTAGCCAACATTGCTTAACATAAAAAGCTTATGACTCATTCTAACTGTTACTCTAGTCTATGAAGCCTCTAATGAAGTACTGAAAACACTAACTGTCTGAAAATACTGAAGACTATAAGGTAATGATAATTTCCAAAAAAACTATGGATCACCAAATAGCTGGTACGAGAATCCTAGCGCTCTGAATCATCAACCTGTAATCATTACCTACATCGTGAGATGCAGGCCCCGGGTAAAAAGAGACGTCAATACAATTGAATTGCACTGGTATGTAAAGCAACTGAAAGAAAGAATTATAAATGTTAAAACTGAAACTAAGTTGATAATTGAGAATTGATAATTGATAACTGAAATGATAACTATTGAAACTGAAACTGAAATGAAAACTGATAACGGATAACTGAACTGAACAAAGGAAGCAAGGATATGAATACTCCCTCTTCTGAATGATGAACAACCTGTTTATCTGTATATTAAACTGCGGCCTCAGACCCAATATATCTGTGCACAAACTGCAGCCTCGGGCGCAAGTATACGTATACATAACTGCGGTCACAGGCCCAAAGATGCGTAAAGCATAAACTCCGACCTCAGGACTAAAGATGTATAAAGCATTAACTGCGGCCTCAGGCCCAAATACTGGGGTTCAACATTCAGGGATTTCAAATTAGGAACTGAGAATCATACTGCAATACATGATACTGAAATACTGAATCATATTGAGTTACACGATACTCGAATGCTAAATAGAACTAGACTGAGTCATGTATTCATGAACTGATTATGAAAACTGAAACTTCAACTGTTTATGACATGCTGAGTAATCTAGACTAAGACTCGTGGGCATCAAAACCATGTCTATATTGATTATGCACTGATTTCACAATGTTTAGAATGAAAGTCATGAATGGGTTACGAAGCTAGAGAATAGAAGTCCTACGACTATTCATGGAACTAAGGCATAATTACTTTCTAAGGAAACTAGTAATAGTCATAATGAATGGGACGTAGGGAGAATCATAGACATTCCCAGACGTAAAGAGAGTTAGCCTAACATACCTCAATTTCGCCCCTTAGTGATACTACAACGATCCACAATACTAAGAACCTTCAATCTATAATAAAACATCCAATGGAACCAATATTAGTAAGAAATTCCATAACTTAAGCCATTTAGGCATATTATCAAACACCTTGTAGGCATAAATCTCTACATTTAATCACCATATAATTAGTTCATCCAACTACCACCACTCATCAATAATTGATCTCACAATCATGATTAACCAATTTATAACTTTCAACATCACATATATGACCATCCATCCACACCCGACCAACAAAGTTCTATTAAATAATCATCTTTCAATCTCTACAATAGTTATGTAATTAAATTGGGAACTTATGGCTTCCAATTACCATACCAAGAGTTATAATACTTATTCATACTCATATTCCCTTAATAAATTCATACATGTAAGTCTAAGGGTATAGTATTACCTTTTTGGAAGAAATCTTGCAAAAGCCTCCTTTGAGTTCTTGAAGAAATCTCTTGAATATCTAAGTATTTTATGTGTAAATTTCATCAATACTAGTGTATAAATGATGGAATTCACACCAAGATAATGGGGATTGCTTACCTTGAAGATGGGAGGAGCTGGAGGTCTTGAGAGAGTGGAGAAAAACCCTAAAATTCGTCCAAAAGAAATGGGGGAAGTGGACCCCCAAATTTGCATAAAAGGCCTTAGCTAGGGCGTGCCCGGTCTGGCGAAGTGAGCCTCACCTCGCTGTCCAGCCCTTCAAGGGATGGCAGGATCCGCGCCCGGTCTGGCGAAGCGAGCCTCGCTTCGCTGTCCGCCAAAATAACTGTGTGGTCTAATTTTTATAATTTTATCATAACTTCTTGTAGGAATGTCCAAATGATGAACGGTTTGAAGTGTTAGAAACTAGACTCGAAGATCTTTCATTTGATAGGTTTTTCATCACATAACACCTTATATAATTGTAGATATACTCGTCCAAAGGTTGGTCTTGTGCGTACTCATTTGGAATTTTAGTCTATCATGTAATTTTCCAACTTGGCTTACACATAGGTCTCTCCTTGGATCCCAAATCACTTATGATATGCCTGGTACACTTATTATCATATCCAATTGATAACCATCACATTAATACTCATTTAATGCATCCACAATTGATTCAAGTTTACGGGGTGTTACATCCTGGTGCTTTGTCCCCTGCAATATCCCATAATGCTTCCTTCATTTCCTGAATACTAAATTCTGCTGTCAGCATTCTCCTTTGTTCAGCTGTAACCATAGGACCTTCTTTTACAGTTGCACTACATACTCTTATTCTGCTTGTGCATTTTCTGCCTAGCAGGTTCTTGTAATACTCCACAAATGCCTCCGCTATGTCAGGTGCAATAGTTCTTGTGTTCTCTCTACCATCTCTTATAGTAAAGATTCTGTTGGAATTCCTTCTGGCTTTTATCATGTTGTGAAAGAATTTAGTGTTCTTGTCCCCTGCATTCAACCAGTGCATTTTGCATTTCTGCTGCAGGTACTTATTTCTTGCTCTCTAGCATTGCTTGGAAAGCTAGCCTTCCTTCAAAATCTCTTTATTACCTTTTGACATTCCTCTAATTCCCTTTGTGCCTGTATAGCTTTGCCTTCTACATCACTAAATTGGCATCTGTTTATTGCTTTGAGAACAGACTTGAGCTTGTTGAGTTTCCCCACCAGTCTATACATTTGAGCCTGTTGAGTTTCCCCACCAGCCTATAAATACATGTACTCTCTATGCTCTTTTCCCAGCTTTCCTTCACCTATTGTTGAAAATTTATGGCTTGACTCCATATGTTGTAGTATCTAAATATGTGTTGGTTCTGCTGAGGTCCATTGTCCCAGTTTATCAAGGCAGGACAATGGTCCATGAGGCCCTCATTCCCAAAGTGCACCTTTGATCCTGGCAATGCACTCAGCCACTCCCCATTTACTAATACTTTGTCAATTTTACTATAGACTCTACTAATGTCCTCGTGTTTATTGTTCCATGTATAGAATGATCCAGAAGACCCGAGTTCTTTGAGTGAACATTTCCCCACACATTCTTTGAAGTCTTTTGTTTTTGATACTGATACTGGTCTCCCCACTCTCTCATCTCTATGTAGGACACAGTTAAAGTACCTGATTGATGCCCATGGACCTTGCATAGTTCTGTATATTTGTTAAAGTTCTTGCCATAATTCTTTTCTTAGTCCTTGATCATTAAAGCCATACCATTGTTATTTGAAACTTGTACTGAGTTCCTCTATGTTCTACCATACAATGCATTATCTGAGCAGACACCTTTGTGATATTCACATTGAAGATTTGTGGCTTCCATAGTACCCAAATTCTACCACCCGGATGGTGGTTTAGTTTGTACTGAATGACCATCCATTACAAAGGTTAAGAGCAGCTGATGATGCTTTTTGCCTCTTAACCTTTGTCTCCAAGAACTCAAATAGGACAACTTTAGAGTTGTGCAGAAATAGATTCATCTCTTTCTGCTTGTCTTGCCTATTTAGGCCCCTGGCATTCCAGAATCCTATTTTATCCATTAGGTGGAGGGGATCCTCCTCCCCTCATAGTACTTGGCCCTGTTCCACATTTCATCTGTGCACTTCTGTTGCTAGTAGCCTCCACTGTTGTACAACTTGTGTATTATGTTCCTTGTCCCTTGTTGTACTCCTACTGTTTTTCTTTTGTTCTTCTAGTGGTACAGTCTGATTTCTCTTATTTACCACCCCTACATGAGCTTCAGTCTTCTCATGTTGCTCCTCCAAAGTAGCAAATGAGTTTCTCGAAGGGGTGGTAGTTGGTTGGACTACTGCTTGCCTTGGCTGTCTCATCTCTTCCTGCACTTCCTTCGTGCCTTCCCCTTTTTGCATTTCAATTTGGATTTGCCATTTATAGGTTTCCATGCTTGTGTTGCCTGTTTCATTTGTATGTTTGTCTGTAGTTTCCTACAGTGTTCCTTTATGTGTCCATAGTTTCTGCAATGGTCACACAGTTTTGGCTTTCATTCATGCTCCACTGTCTATTCTATTATTTGCCCTAGCTCATTCTCAAACATTATTATATCTGGATATGTTTTATTCATTGGTACTTCAACCATCACCCTAGCACATATTAGTTTCTCCTTCCTTGTAGTTGCAGTATCAGCTTTTGCAAGCTTACTTACTAATCTTGCAGTTTTGGCCAATGCAGCTTGACCCCAGTATTGAGATCCGATCCCACAAGCCGAATCCAAATTGGAACCTGCTCCACTATTATTTTACTCATTTCCATTCCTGGCTTCCATGGCTTCACCACCACTGGTTTTCTATCAAATGTTCGGGTTCCCCCATCAATTGTTTTTGTTCTTCCTTCTACACTGTGAAATCTTACCATAAAGACCCCTTTATTAGTTTGAGCCACCTTATCTAGCCCTAGATGACCCATATTTTCTTGAAATACCCCTCTATTACAGTTAAAGGGGGATTCGATCCCAAAACATAGCAAACTACCGCAGACTGCTAGTACTCTATTTCCTCTTGCACATCTGCCAAAGTAATTTTGACATTTGCACAGGTTTCCCCTTCCCATTCCAAGTCAAAGCCCCCGCTTATAATCGCTTTTACCACTACATTGCTCCACGATTTAGGTTTTAGGGTTTGAGCAGTACCTGATTCACTTTGGGATTTTCCTTCGTTTTCTACCTGATCTGCCCAGGAATTCTTCCCAGAGCTCTGTGCATATTTTTGGTTGCTTGTTCCCACTGAGGTTGTCAATTGATTGTTCGCCATCAAAGTCACCATTATTGGCGGTCCAACCATTGGTGTTTGCTTCAGTTCCAGTGGTACTATGCCTCGTATAACATTCAAACTTCTAGTTTTCTTTGCAATCCGATTGGGGAACACTTTTTTTTAGCAATATTCCCCTGTTGATTTGCAATTTCCTCCTTGTCCTCGCCCTCCAGTCCGTGACTTCCTCGCCATAGCTGAGAGAAGCTCCCATTCTAAAGAGAGAGAATACTCATTCTTCCGGAACAACGAAAAGTCCCATTTTTTAAAATAACCGATTTGGTGTGGTGGGATTGTTTCCTATTTTTCTTTTCAAATATGCCCTAACGTATTACTTTAAAATTATATTTTACCGTTTACCTTTTTTTAAACTCCAAATCTCCAACCTTTAACCTGCTTTGTCTTCGTCCTTTTTTTCCTTCTGCCGCTTACTATTCCCAACTCCAACATCAAAGGTAGTAAGAACAGGTTTTGCCTTCTTTTTGTTTCTGTTTTCTCCTACTTTGGTTTTAACTCCAATTCTAATTACTTTAATCTCCAATTAGTTGTATACTATTAGTTATTTTCAAGTGTGCATCTTCTTACTTATTTATCTTCGTTCCTTTATTCTGCCAACTGCACGGTCTTCGTTTGTTTCTCTATCATTGTTCTTTATTATTTTTTTTTCTAATGATAGTTGATCTTTTATTTTAGTAAAAAGGGATTTTCTTAAATTATTTTATTCGTAATTCTTGAAAATTTTAATATTTAAAACAATTGAGGGTATTTTAGTAAACCTATCAGTTATAGTACAATACGATGCAGTCAAACCAAACAATAAAATCTTCTTTAACAACATTAAATAATACAATCTATCCAAATGTTATATTCATAAAATGATACTATACAATATGATATGGTACAATACCATACATTATGAAATGATGGATAACAATGATCCAAACAGAGTGTAAGGTGGAAAATAAACTATGTCAATTATTGATAATTGCATTGTCTTAGCTAGCACGGGATAATTATGCAAGAATCGGTATTCAAACCTCCATAGAGAAACCTTTAATCAATCAATATCACATTGGTAGACATAAACAAATTATTATATTTAAGTGTAAAATCATGACACTTAGCCTCGCGATCGCAGAGAGTCAAAGGTGGACCTTCCGCGTCCGCGGTCCAACCTTTGCGATAGCGTAGAACAAAATACCCCTAAGCTAGCCACCCCAATTAGACTTTAATTTCCCCTGCTGCCTCACCACGATAATGGCTTGGTACGTGAGACAATAGATAGCAACAAATGTCTACAACATTCCATTGAGTTCTAATATGCTGAAACACCCCCAAGCCTTCAGGTTTCAACCCCGAGCATTCCCACAAGTCACAAACAATTACATGAACTTACTAGAGGTCTCAAAACACATCTCTAACAAATATGCAAATCTAAGGGTCGGTTGTTACAAAATTCACTCGAAATTAGGTCAGCAATTCCGAACAAATTAAATGCATAGTCAGCTAAGTAATGTGTTTGCTATGTGACTTCGACCGATGAAAAAAAAAAAGGTATAAACAAAATCAAAAAAGGATTTAGTAGAAGACCATGCTTACCTCATGCACGAGGAATTGCATAAAATTATAATTGTCGGTTAACAGAATAATGTAAACAGCTGAAAGGAAAGGAAAGGAACATTGACCTGCAAACTCCTACTTCTCCAAGGGAAATATATACTCCAATTCTTAACAGAAAAATTAAACCTTTTTGCGAAAATCATTTCTATTTGTAAGGAAGAAAGAGCTGGAGAGCAAGTAAAATTTCTGGAATGTGGTAAGTCCAGCCCTTTTATGTTTGCTTTATTAAGTATAATATAACTCGTAATTTTGGAGCACCAATAGCGCGTACGAGAATTCCAATTTGATTCTCTCTCTTCGTATACCCCTTTTTTTAAAATTTTTATCTTAATATATCGGGCTTTCTTCAGAAAAGTGATGGGATAGTTAGGGATAAGAACATCTCAGATGCAGACTTTGATATATATTGTACTTCTGAGAAATGTGTTCGAACTGAAAGCCCGAAAACCTAGTATTAGGGTTAAACATGTAATCTTCTTTACCCTTACCAATTTAATACATTTATAGTTGTCAATATCTTTTATTTCTGAAAAGAAATTGTCCACTTTAAACCTAATTTTGCCAATGTTGGGGTGCTAAAAACAAAGTAAAACTACACTAATTCATACCAAGAAAATGTTGGAAAGTTGATTGCATGCCAAATTAATAATCACTATTTTTGGCAATTGATTTACTAACTTTTTTGTTTAATATATTGCATTAGATTAATTTTCATAAAACTTTATGCAAAAACAAGTTTTGATACGATATGTTTTATGAACCAAACAAATATTTGGAGGACACATGAAAAAGTTGAATTTGATTAATCCTAATTTGTTTAAAATTGAAAACAAGCAAATGGAGTCCAAATTCAAACTGCTTACAACATTGAATCTTGCTAAATACCGCAACTAACTTGTTTGCTTCCCAATTCAGCAAAATTTATTATCTTATATTTCTCTAACTAAATCAAATTTGATGGTCATTACTTGTTTTGAGCATTAACTAGCTCGTTTGCAAACTCATGGGATATAGTAGATTATAGAAAATTCAGGTTATTTAGGCCATGCGAATGTGATGGGGACAAACTGATCTTTGGAACACTTCTCCTTCTTTG